CACCGCCACCACCGCCACCGCCGCTCATAAGAGAGGCAGGCCCGGTGCGGCCCACGTGACCAAGTCCGGCGCTCGCGACTCGACAACCGGCAGGACGGGCGCCAAAGCTCAAGCCGGCGGCGGCGTGAACGCCAACGCCGGCGGTGCCAGCGCCGGTGGTGCCAGTGCCGGTGGTGTCAACGCCGTCGTAAAGCCGGGGCCCAGCGGCGACGCCAACGCCGGTGGTGCTAGCGCTGGTGGTGCTAGCGCCAGCGGTGTCAACGCCGGTGTCAACGCCGGCGGTGTCAATGCCAGTGGTGCTAGCGCCGGCGGTGCCAACGCCGGTTCCAGCACCGCCGGTGCCAACCCCTCGGCAAGCGCCGGGGGTTCCACTGGCGCCGCTGCCGCCGCCGCGGCCCGGTCGGAGAAAGATGCGGCCACCCCCACGCCGGGACGAGCCAAGGAGAACGGCCCCAAGGAGGGCGGTGCCGGTGGTGCCGGCGGTGGTGCCGGCGGTACCGGCGGCGGTGGTGCCGGCGGTGGCGGCAGCGGTGCCGGTGGTGCCGGCGGTGTAAACGGCGGCGCTGGTGCTGGTGGTGAGGCCCAGGCGGCGCTGGCTGCGGCGCGCGGAGCCGACGTCGCCCTCGCGTTCAGCAACAAGCTGATCGAGGCACGACAGTAGACCTGGTGACCTGGTGACCCAGTGACCTGGTGACCCAGTGACCTGGTGACCCAGTGACATAGAGACCCAGTGACCCAGTGACCTGGTGACCCAGTGACTTGGTGACCTGGTGACCCAGAGACCTGGCGACCTTGTGACTTAGTGACCTGGTGACCCAGTTACATGGTGGCCTGGTGACCCGGTGAACTGGTGACCCGGTGACCCGGTGACCTGGTGACCTGGTGACCCAGAGTCTCAGTGACCCAGAGACCCGGTGACTTGGTGACCCGGCAAACCGGCGGCCCGTCTAGCGGCAGATCGATTCCCCCTCTCCGCGATTGGTCGACGAGGGCGGCGGCGGTGGCCGTAGCGGTGGGGAGGCCGTCGCGGTGACGGGACGCGGCCTCGCGGTGCGGCCCCACGGTGCGGCCTCACCGTGCGGCCTCACGTTGCGGCCGCCACTCAGGGTGGGGCCTGCTGGGCGGCTAGGGTAGGCCGTCCCGGGGGAGTTGTGTCATCAGACCCCTCCGCCACCCGACCACCGCTGGCGACAAATAAAGCGGGGGAAGTTGTCCGTGTGGGGGGCGTCGTGACGGTGACGCGCCGCTCGTTACGGCTTGACTCACCGTGTGAGTTGGGAGGCGACTCCCACTCACTGACCTCGCTCGCTCGCTCACTCACCCGCTCACCCGCTCGCCCACTCGCTCATCCGCTCACTGACCCGCTCACTCACCCGCTCACCCACTCACTCGCTCATGTTCACACTCACCGGGTAAGTTGGAGAGCGACTCCCACTCACCCACCCACTCACCCACCCACACACCCACCCAAACACCCACCTACTCACTCACCCACCCACCCAATCACCCTACCAATCACTCTCCCGCTCACCCACCCACCCACTCACCCACCGCCTGCACTCACTCGCTCACTCACTCACTCACCCACCCACCCACCCACTCACTCACCCACCCACTCACTCACTCACCCCAAAGATCAAACACAAAAACTTCCCCCCCATGTAGCCTTCACCGACTATAGGGGCAAGTGCTGTTAGCGAGCAGCACCTATGAAGGCTACCGGCGCTGTGGCACACGAGGGGGGTGGGTGGCCAGCACCACGCCCGGCCCGCCTTTGTCTCCTCCAGTGGCGATGTTTAACTCCACACCGCCGCCAGGTACTGATTTTGTGGCCGAGTTGACCTAGGGGGAGGCCCTGGACCCGTGTCAGATAATCGTCACCGGTGTTGGCCGTGAGCGGGAATCGAACTTCGGGGTCTCTGACGGATTCGTAGCGCAGCGTAGCGCTGACCGCTTTACCGACCGCTTTACCGACCGATAGGATGCTTGGTTGGGGTGTAATGGGTTTATTAAAGCTTTCGTGACTGCAGGAATTCATATCGTTGGCTCTTTCGGTAAAGTCACGCACGTAGGTTTCAAAGGAAATGACAAAACCTACGACGTTTTGATCGCAACACGTCTTCTGGACGACCGCTTGTGTTGCGATCGAAACGTCGTAGGTTTTTGTATGTTATTTATGTTATTTGAACCTATCATCGTGACTTTACCGAAAGACCCAAATTATGGGTTTATTAGTTTAGCATGTAGCGGCACTTTCGCGACCAATATCATCCACAGTAGAGGTTTTTGGGGGGTTAGATCGCATAAATGTATAAATGTTGTGTCGTTAAACACCCACCACCACCCGACACAGCCAACTAGTGAGGGTTGTCATGTAAACAGAACGTGGCCAATTCGTCACTAGTACAGCACTAGTGTGTAGTGTATAGTAGTGTAGTGTATAGTGTAGTGTCTAGTGTAGTGTCTAGTGTAGTGTATAGTGTAGTGTATAGTAGTGTAGTGTATAGTGTAGTGTATAGTGTAGTGTATAGTGTAGTATACTAGTAGGCCTCGGCAAGGTAAGGTAATTTACCCTTTTTACCGGGTAAAAGGGTAAAGGTAAAATGTAAAGGTGTCGACATGCCAAGGGGTAAGGTAAAAATAATTACTCGGTAGGGTAAAGGTAGCGTGAAGTGTTACCCGGTAAATACGGTGCCTTGTTTACCGCTAGAAGCTCCGTGGTGCAGTCCGTAGCCTCCATTTAATGACTAATATTTAAAACAACTTTTAAAAAAACACGCATTTATTAAATGTACCGTACTAGTAATGGAAGAACTCCACGACTCCAGGAAGTGGCCCCGAAGCTTGCCACAACGTGAGGGGCCGTGGTGATTTACAGCCAACGTCAGTTGAGCGTGGACAATTAGACCCAAGCCGAAACATGACATGTAAAAAAAAATGTTTAGAAATTTATACATTTTTAATGATAGAATATAGTGTTGTCATCAGTATGACATAAGTATACCAAGTTTGCAGTCGATACCACATTAGGAAGTGGGTAAAATTTTAGTTACAAGATTTGAGGATACAACAACGACAACAACGACAACAACAATGACAACAACAAGGACAACAAGCGTGTAAAATTGGACTAATCGAGAGTATTCTATATGAATAAAGCGCTCTACCTGGCATTTACCGTTACAAACCTTGTTCATGTGTAGTAGTACCCCAGTAATTACCCTGTAATCAGGTCATTTGTATGCGGTAAGGGTAAAAGGTAGGGTAAAGGTAGGCTCGTTGTTTTTACCTTTTAACTTTTACCTTACCTTGCCGAGGTCTATATACCAGTGTGGTGGTCATGATTGACACACACACCACGTGCCACAACCAGGGGGGGGAGGGGTAGAAACCGGTCCGGACCGGTCGCGCCAACGGCGGTTGGAACCCCTCTGAGGGGAGGGGGCTGGGGGAAGCTACGATCCCCCAGAGCCCCGCCCCTCAGGGAGAGAGAGTATATAAGGCGGGTCCCTGAGAGCACGAGTCAGTCCGTCTCGAGCCGAAGCCAGAAGCCGCCTTGAGATCAAGAAGACTCTGGACCCCAAGCCGCCAACGTCCTTCTCAGGGCCGGGGCTCAGTGCGGTGCCGGTGGTCGAGAGGTTAGGACCCTGAGGTTCCTTCGGCCTGATGACCTTGTGAGGGCCAGGTCCGGACGGGCCAGTGGTCAGGGACCCACCGGACCAGCGGTGGGTCAGCCGAAGAGGTCGCAAACGGGTTTTGATTCCTTACCCGTACCCGTACCCGGCCGCACCAGGGTCGCAAATGGGTACCCGTACCCGGCCATACCCGTACCCTACCCGTACCCGGCCGGGTACGGGTAGGGTACGGGTATCGGGTACCTGATTGCGACCTCTGGGATGAAGCCATGTTGCAGGCGCGGGTTGGTTGATTCTAGGAACTTGAATTGTGAGAAGAGACAAGACGTTGGGAAATGAGTGACAAACGGTTACTCATATTCTTAGGTTTTTTCGGTAAAGTCACGTAGGTAAAAAAAAATAATTAATAAAAGTAAAATAAAAATATTTTATTATTTTATATTATTTTTATTTTACTTTTATTAATTTGAATTTTTTACCTATGTGACTTTACCGAAAAAAACTAAGAATATGAATCCTTGCAGTCACGAAAGCTCCAAATCTAAAACAGTTACTCACCAGTGACTCACGGCCTACCCGTACCCGTACCCGGCCGCACCAGGGTCGCAAACGGCTACTCGTACCCGTACCCGGCCGGGTACGGGTACGGGTAGCCGGGTATCGGGTAGGGTACGGGTATCGGGTGCCCGGTTGCGACCTCTGGTCCAGTGTCCATCGTCTAGCCAGCCGGAGGGCTGGAGTAGGGAGAGTCGTAGGTACGATAGCCCGGAGGCTGTACCTCCCTAGGTTGTGGGTTGAAGGGGCCCATTACCCCTTTGTGTTAGGGTTTAAGTGTAAACTGTTTGGTGAAATAAACCGTGTTGCCTCTACGACGACTCCGTCTCCCTACAAGAACATTACACTAGTACAGCACTAGTGTGTAGTGTAGTGTATAGTATAGTGTGTAGTGTAGTATACTAGTACAGCACTTGTGTGTAGTGTATAGTTTAGTGTAGCGTATAGTGTAGTGTATAGTGTAGTATACTAGTACAGAACTAGTGTGTAGTGTATAGTGTAGTGTATAGTGTAGTATACTAGTACAGCACTAGTGTGTAGTGTATAGTTTAGTGTAGTGTATAGTGTAGTGTATAGTGTAATATACTAGTACAGCACTAGTGTATAGTGTAGTATAGTGTAGTGTATAGTGTAGTATACTAGTACAGCACTAGTTTATAGTGTAGTGTCGTGTATAGTGTAGTGTATAGTGTAGTATACTAATACAGCACTAGTGTATAGTGCAGTGTATAGTGTAGTGTATAGTGTAGTATACTAGTGTAATATACTTGATGACTCTTGGACGCCGGAGTTGGAGGCACACGTATTTATTCAGCACAGCACAATCGTGGGCATACAACACTGGAGGGGGTATCGGCCCCCTCACCCGTCTAGCTGGGGATACACTTGCTAGCTACGTCTATCCTACCTCCTAGTCCTCCACTAACGGGCTAGGGGAGGCTATCTAGCCCGACACTGGTAAGTCGGGCTCACGGTACCCGGAGTCCCAGACCAGCTCTGATAAGAGCACCGGCTCTGGCTCTCGGGACCACGCCGCTGGCTCGGTCCTGTTCGGCCCTGATAAGGGCGGCGATCCAGGGGAGTCCAGGGCCCTATCTAGACGGTCTTCGGTCTTCAGTGGTTTAGCTTTAACATTATCTCCCCGAGCCCTCCGGCTCATCTCCTTATATACCAAAACCCCCCACTGAGGGGTGGGGCCAGGCTGCCCGGTGTGGACGTCGTTGAGAGCACCCCCCCCGTGCACTCACGTAGCCCCGCCCACTGTGTTTGTTTCCCGTGTGATCCTATGTATAACAGGCCCTCCGTAACACCCCTACATCACCCACCCCCCCCCCCCCCCCCCCCCGTACAGCTCGCAGCTGTCCCGGCTGCAACAAAATGACAATAAAAGTGTATTTACCCCTTGACCCCGCGTGTGCCTCACAATTTTTTTTTTCCAACAATAACGAGAACGAGAACAACAACAAGAACAACATCAGCAAGAAGGGAAAATAACCCGACGCACCCCCCCCCCCCCGAATAAATACGAATTCCGTAAAAACACCCTATATACAATTTGCAGGGAACCACACCACACACACGACACACAGCGAACACAACATATGTACAATCCAATGTGCAAGGAACACACCACCCACACAACACACAATGAACCTAACATGCATCACAAGAGTCTGCGCATTCTTGCGCGCGTCCTTGCAGCAGGCCCGTCACACGGGGCAACCCCGGATGGCGGACTGTCGGGTGGCAACCGTCCGTCTCCGAGTGAGTCTCTTTTTGATGCCGCGAGACCCTCGGCATCCCCAGGAGGGGTTATCGGGCGTGAGCCCGTCACTCCTGATGCACCTGGGGGTGGCACAGCCGGCAACGCATTAGGTGAGAGCAACCGAGACGGACCCAGTGAGTCGGTCGACCCCCCACATGTTTGGCCACGCGTGTGTGAAGTGGGAATTTGTACCGCAACGAAGGGTTTTAATCTGGAGGGGTGCACAAACCACCGCCGCTTCCCCCATTTGATGCGTACGCACTGCGGCCGCAAAACCTCAACCACCTCCACAGGGCCCCGCCACGGCCGCACCAGTTTAGAGGAGGTTGCAAGTGGCACCTGTGGACAGTGCAGCCATGCCTTGTCCCCCGGCTTCCACTGCAGCACGTGTGCCCGACCCAGTCTGAGCCTCTCGTTAGCTTTCTGACGGAGGTCAGAATTTTGCATGGCCGCATCCCGTGCCTCCGCTAATTTAGCAAGATTAAATTTAACATGGTCGAACAATTTAGTTTTACCCTGCGGCGCGGGGATCTGCAGCTGGGCCCGAACAGGCGGGTCAGGTTCGCGGCCATACATGAAAAAGAAGGGGGAAAATCCCGTTGCCGCATGGGGGGCCATTCGGTATGCTGCCAAGACCCCTTGAATTTGCAGGTCCCAATCAGTCTGTGAGTCCGAAACCTGCTGTGACAACATCGACGTGATGGTTCGATGCAGACGCTCGACCATCCCGTCAGTTTGCGGGTGATACGGGGAGGTACGAATTTTCTTCGTGCCCACGAGCTCACAGACGTGTTGGAGTAGTTTTCCGGAAAAATTTCTGCCCTGGTCGGTCAGCAGCCGCTCCGGAGCACCTTTGTCCAGGACGTATCCCTGGACAAAGGCCTCCACGATGGCTGCTGCCGACTGGTTGGCAAGGGGCCAGGCCATAGGCCAGCACGTAAAGTATTCCACACCAGTCAACAAATATCTATTGCCCCTGGGGGTGGCGGGGAATGGGCCCAGAATATCCAGCGCGACAAGCTCGTTGACTCTTGAGACTTTGATTGATTGCAAAGGCGGGTTAGACTCCCGTGCTGGTGGTTTCCGTTGCGCACACCGAGGGCATGATCCCAACAAATCCCCGACATCCCTCGTCATGCCTGGCCAAAAAAAATCAAGCTGGAGCAAGGCGAGGGTCTTTTGGGTCCCCAGGTGGAGGAGGCGCTCATGAGCGGCCCACACCACCTTACCCCGCAACCCAGAAGGGACCACCAGCCGGTGTCGATGGGATCTCCCGTCCCAATGCATTAGCAGACCCTGGACCATTTCCCATGAGTCGGCATCACCCCTCCCCCGCCGAGCACCGCCGACACGACGACGCAACGCGAGGAGGGAGGTATCCTCCATCTGGAGGCGCCCCCATTCAGTGACAGGCAACCCCAACAGGGAATCTTTTCCCTGTTGTGCGATCGAATTCGTCATCGACGTTGCGTCGTCGGCGGCCGCCAAGACCGGAACGGATATCTCCCCCGGAGGCCTGCAACGTCCCGACCCCAGGAGGCATGCGCATTCGGAGGTGGTTGGCATGCGCGACAGAGCGTCCGCATTGGTGTGGCGAACGCCCTTACGGTACGTAGTTTCAAAATCAAAGTCCTGGAGAATCTCCAACCATCGAGACAATTGTCCCGATGGTTGTTGAACTCGCAGGGCGTACTGTAGTGCCGCATGATCTGTGCGGACGGTGAAACGCCGACCGTACAGATATGGGCGATACTGTTGGATGAAATAGACAATTGCCAACAGTTCCCGACGGGTGACACAATATCTTTGCTCCGCTGGAGACAACACCCGACTACCGTACGCGACTACCCGTTCTACGCCGTCAACCACCTGGGAAAGCACGCCCCCAATACCCGTGTTGCTCGCATCGGTGTCGAGCAAAAAGGGTTTCGAAAAATCGGGGTAAACCAAGGGAGGAGCTTTTACCAGAGCGTCCCGAAGGGAGCGGAAAGCAGCCTCCTCCTCCTGTCCCCAATGAAACCGAACCCCCTTTGACATCAAAGCGTGTAGGGGTTTCGCAATCGTCGCAAAATCCGCGACAAACCGTCGGTAATACGACGCGAATCCAACGAAACTCCTAACCTCTCCCACAGAGGTGGGAGTCGGCCAGGAGCTGACGCACTGCGTTTTGGCGGGATCGGTAGCAATACCTGAGCGCCCGACGATATGTCCCAAATAACGCACAGATTCGCGTAACAGATGACATTTTTGGGGTTTAAACTTCAAATTAGCAGCCCGCATTTTGAGGAAAACCGCCCACAACCTCTGGAGATGTTCGTCAAATGTTTTACTAAAGACGATAACGTCATCCAAATAAATCAAACACGAGTCCCATTGCAATCCAGCCAAAACAAATTCCATCAATCGCTGGAAAGTTGCCGGCGCTGAGTGGAGTCCCATCGGCAACCGGTTGAATTGGAACAGGCCGTGCAGTGTACGGAATGCAGTTTTAGGCTTTGAATCATCGTCCAGAGGAAGCTGCCAGAATCCCGAAAGCAAATCCAATGTGGAGAAGAATCGCGCTCCCGCCAAGGCGTCAAGCGATTTGTCCATCCGTGGGAGCGGGTATGCGTCGGCAACCGAAATTTTGTTAAGGCGACGAAAATCGATGCAAAACCGCAACGAACCGTCCTGTTTCTTAACTAGAACGATCGGCGCTCCCCAAGGGCTGGTGGAAGGAGAAATGATGTCGGCGGCTAACATGTCATCCACAGCCGATTTGACATGGTCCTTTTCGGCGGGACTTAACTGAAAAGGATTCTGGCGTATTGGCGCGCTGTCACCTGTATCAATATGGTGACGCAGCAGATGAGTGCAGCCCAAATCGTATTTGTCCCGACTGAAAACGTCGGAAAATTCCCGCAGTAGTGTTTTAAGTTGTTGACGCTCTGAATTTGACAGGTCCGTCGGTCCCGCACAAAGCGCCTCGAGCCACCCTTCATCGCTGTCCGAATGTGGTCGCGGCGCAGGGACAGCGGTGACGTGATTCGCGACGGGTTCCTCACAGGGCACCGGCGTTGCGTGAGCAAGCACGGTCCCCTGTGGGACCACCACCGTCTGCGAGCCCACATTGAGGACCGTGATGAAGGGGTCTCCGTCCCCTCTTACTATGGTCTGGGCCGGAAGTAAATGAGGTCCACTAACCCCGGCCCTAGACGGCCCCAGCAGAACCCCTTGGGCCCCAATGCCCTTAGCGAAGGGCCGCCGAAGTTTCAAAGGAATCAACATTTGTGCCCCCGGAGGAACGCACACCGTTCTATCTACGAACGCCGGCACCGTCGCGAACGCCGTTCGACTCGTAACGGGGGATGGCAGAAACGCCATGCGTCGGCCCGACGGGAGCTGAATGCATCCCTGGTCGATTAATATCCTAATCGGTATTTTGGCCAGGAAGTCCGTCCCCAGCAGGCACGGAACCGCCAGCGAGGAGGAAACAAAAATCGGCCCAGACAATTTAATATCCCCGATACAAATTTGGGCTCGAATTTGTCCAATGATGCCAAGTGAGCCTCCATTAGCAGCATAGAATGGCACGTTAACGGGCATCAAGGACAGCTCTGGACAGGGAGAATATTGTAAATTAACTCCAAAATAATGGTCGCCGATGCTCCCGTATCGACCAGGATGCGCACCTCAACCCCGTCGATGTGCCCCACAACGGCAGACGACCCCGACGATGCGGCTAGAACGCGATGGGCCAACACGGACCACTGGCCGGGTTCGATATGAGTACCCAGAGTGGTGCGTGTTGCTGTGATGGTGCGCGATATTGGCCCCCCATTCGCTGCGGTGTTTGAGTGTGTGACGGGCGTGTGCGTGGGCCAAACATGAGGGGTGCCGCGACTCGCCGGGTTATGATGGTGGAGCTTGTGACGAGGGCCGGCGTCCCGTTGAGGTGTCGTCCCGCGCTGCCGAGGAGAGCGGCACCCCGAGGCGACATGGCCCCGGATGCCGCAGTTGTAACAGCGCGGGAGCGCTGGCGACGACGATGGATGGTTGAGATGGCTTGAACCGCCCCGGTCCGCCCGTACTCCCGCTCCCTGCTGCCGTTGATGGTCGATTGCGCAAATCTCTT